TCTCCCCCTCCTCCTCCCCTCCTCCTCCTCCCCCTTCTCCTCATCCCCTCCTCCTCCCCCCTCTTCCTCCTCCCCCTCCTCCTCCTCCCCCTCCTTCTCCTCCTCCTCCCCTCATTGTCCGGCTTGAGCGGCAAGGAGGAAAGCAGTACGAAGGTGGAGGAGGGGGGGAGGAGAGACGAGGAGGCGGAGGCGAGGGGAGGGAGGAGCTTGAAGGACGAGGAGGTGGTAAAGGAGAGGGAGGGGGAGCAGGAGGGGAGGAGGACTAGCAGGCATGATCACGAGGGAGGAGGAGGAATATACCCTCCACTCCTCCTCCTCAAGAGCTGCGCTCCAATTCGGCGTTACAGGAAGTTGTAAACGGCTTTCACTTTTTTTTTTTCTTCTCAGTCTTTGTTCTTCAGGAAAGCTCCAGACCATTCTAGACTGGCGCCGTCTGTTCTGGCTCAAAACATTCCTGAACGTACCGCGTACATAAAATCAGCGGTAATGCGCTACTTCGGGAGAATCGCCCATATACCCTTGTTACAAGGGCACACTTATCTGCAGTTGCGTTAAGCTACACTTAGCGAACAATACTTGCAGACAACATTCTGCGGCTATGCAGTGAAAGCTACGGGCGAGCGTGCGCTTGAGCATCTTGAGCAGCCACCAAAGCAGTGCATGTGCGCTCTTCACTTCTTTCGAAACAGCAGTCCGAGAGTATAGTGTGGTAACTATGGTGATGTGGAATAGCACTTAAAGCTGAGTTAACCGCTGTTAAGGGCGCCCGTGTAACAGGGGTACTCCTTTCACTTTAAGTTCGCAGGCACCAGTTTGCCTCAGTAAATGTGAATTGACGTGAAACGTTCTTCGGCTTGTTGCTCCACATTTAGTGATGCCGTATTTCATGAATCCGTGGCCTGTGACATCCCATAATGCTAGGCACGCAGTGTTGCGTCATGGGACGGCACAGACCTACACCCCTATTCAGTTTCTCCGCAACATTTAGTGGGGAAACTGACTTGGTGTGTTGTTCATGCGACGTCAATTTCCCCGCTAAATTTAGCGAAAAAAAATTATGTCCTGGGACCTATGCACCAATTCAATTTCTCCGCAAAGTTTAGCGGGGAAAACGGCGTCACGTGACCCGATGTCATTTGATGCCGGAACGGTTCACGTATGCAACACAATTGCCAAGCAATTTGTCATGCAATTATTTTTTTAGTTGTTCATTCGTGTATCGTTTTTCATCCATGTCAATACCTCCCTTTCCCATCTTCCCCTAATTCCAGTGCAGAAATTGCTGGCTATACTTCGTTCCACCTTAAAGGGCGACGACCAGTTCGCGCTTTCCACTTTTCCCACGCTTCCTCCTCTCCCCCTTCTACCCTGTTCCCTGTTGCCCGCTTCCTCCTCCTCGAGGGTGAGGAGGATCTTCTGCCTTGCAGAATATCGAGTCGGCTCGTCGGCCTTTAAGTCTAGACGCCGCCGACGCTACAAGCTGAAGGGCTCGTAGCGTCGGCTACGAGCCCTTCAGCCCTTCAGCTAAGAAAGCGTCAAAAGATCACCATCATGATGCTTGTCATGTTTCTGTATGCGTTCTATCATCGCTGAACCAATCGTAAACAAAAAGTGGCGAGGGACTTGCGCTTCTGAAGCTAATTGATCGGCCCTCCTACCTCGTAGCGTTATTGTTAGCCGTCTGTACCTCTTTTCTTTTTCGGGACCTGTGTACTCTCTCGACCTCCCGCTTGGACAAACTAGAGTATGTAATAAAATAGCGTCGGCTGCGTCTGAACTTAAGCTGAAAGGAAGTATAAGACAACCGTCTGCTTAACCCCTATGCTTTTTCGTCATCAATAGCAGTCCAATGAAAATAAAGCCGAACGCTCTCTCATCGCGATTATTCCACCAAAAACAGTTAATCTGAAATCAGTTTTTTTTTTTCAAGTTCACTTTTTTATTTTTGTCACAAGCAGTTTTGTTTCACTTTCTCTCGCTAGTTTTATTAACATTCCATAGCTCGCGCCGCTCCTGTATTAGCGGCGAGGTGTTTTGGTGGCGCCCTCCTGTGGTTCCCTCTCGTGACGTGATCACCTTGCGAGCAATAAGTTTGATGGCGTTCTTAATCAGTATGGTGGAAGCTCGAAATCACTGCGCTCTAAAATCGACACTGCCAACACCGTAAAAATGGAAGTTCTCGAATTCCTCTTATTTCCATCCATGAGAAGTCCTTTGCTGACGTCATAGTCAGCATTCGGCCAATCGGAGAAGGCCGACCACAGCGCCGCTTTCGATCGCACACGTCGCCAATAGGGAGTTTTCACTGGCGGCCGTAGCCGTGTGCGCGACTGCTGAGTGCGTGCTGATGGCGAGCTTCCACAGTTCTTTTGCAACGTGCATTCCACACCATCAAGATTGCCGGTCTTAGCAACCTAGAGTTGTGAGTTCGTTCTCAGCATGCACTCTAAACAGCACCGACAATAGACCGATCTCACCAGCCAGTCTGACTACACTGTACTTTGACTACGCCACCGCTGCCGCAATGCATCGAGGGAACTTTAGTCTTTCTGCGCGTGCGACAACCTCGCTGGAGCTCTGCGCATGCAGGGCACGAGCAGTCTCGTGCACTGCCGATTGCCTTCTGTGAACTAAAGTTATGGCTGCCTCGCGCAGGCGTCGAACGCTTGGTGAGATCGGTATATTATGACGTCCAGTGAATACACCTTATAGACGATCGCAAGCAGAGCGACCGACCGCTGCCACGCTTCTACTCGTGCGAGCACGCCCGTGCAATTGCAAGCTCGTCAGAGCTACGTTCCCGCGCACGCTGCACGTGCATGCACGCGTGGCGCACAAGTCGGGGTTCTACACTTGCAATAGTCTGTAGACAAATGCATGCATGGCGTCCCGAACTAGTGCCCCATGTGGTTGGGGGCGCCTCCTATATTGCCGTGGGATCGCGGTTGCCAGGCGTTTCCGCCTGTGGGCGAAGGGCTCGCCGCAGGCCTTTCGGTCGATTCAAGTGTTTGCTCAGTATGTGTCGTATAACTTGTTTCCTAAACATTTTTAAAGCAAAACGATGCTTTGTTTTCTTTTCTTTTTCCGGGGCGGCGATTGTCCAAAGCGCCAGGGAAAAAATTGGAGCAGTAGGCGCGTCGTTATAATGCAAATGAGCGATGTATTCCCACCAGTAACGATGTTTGTTTATGAACGCATGAGAAGTTTCGCCTCTTGTACGCGCTCATCGCCTCCCGTCGGGCTCTGTCTGCGCTTGTACCCAACTGTTGTCAAAGGCGTAAAGCTCGAACTAAAGGCGGAGCTCCTGTTGTATACTTAACTGGTCAGCAACCGTAGTACAAACATGTTCCATTCATTTATCGTAAAATATTTTGTTAACTACAAAAAAAAAAAAAATTACAGCGACCTTTATGTTTAAAGTAGTATAATGCACGAAAAAAGTGTTTGAGAAGCGATCGTTTTGAACTTTTTCTTTTTTTCAGAATGTTGTGAACAGTTGGTTTTTGGAGTGGGGCACCTATACTTTTATGAATTTCCCCGCGAAATTTAAGAGGGAAATTGACTCAATACAAACTTCACGTGACGTCAATTTACCAGCTAAATTTAGCGGAAAAACTCAATTGATGTATAGGTCACGTGACGTCGGGACACGCGACATCAGTTTTTCCGCTACATGTATTGGGGAAACTGAATCGATCTACAGGTCGTGCGACTCTAGATCACGTGACATAAATTTTCCCGCTAAATATAACGGGAGAATTTGAATCGGTGTATCGGTCACGTAACGTGAATTTCTCCGCTTAATAAAGGGGGAAATCCACGGGCGGCAGACGGACGGACGGACACAGTTTTGAAATTGGGGTTCCGCTAAAAAGCATTCATGCCTAAAAATAAACGTTGCCGAGAAAAAAAAAAAAGAAAAAAAAAGTTGAACGCTGCCGCAATCTAACATGAATACTAACCGTTTCGACAAAAAGAAACCTAAATGTTACCGGAGCCAAACCAAGAATAAAAACTAAACGTTGCCGGAGCAAACAAAACAACAAAATGCTGTCGCAAGCAACAAAAACCACAAAAGCCAAATTGTTCCGGGATAAAAAAAAGCTAAACAATGCTACATTAAAAACAAAAAAAACTAAAGGTCGCCTTAACTAAACCAAGAAAAAAAGTTGAACGCTGCCGGAACCACCGTTACTAGAACACTCAGTCGGGACACTTGCCATCGAAACCTGGGCCGTTGGCGTCCACCGAGAACGAGCTAAATATAAGAGCGCCACTCTTTATCATTTGTCTGTACTGTGGTCACCTTGAGCTTTTAGAAAGCCTGTTTTTGCGTAAAAACAAACGGAAAAGACGCTTTTTGTATGCAATTTATTGGAGCTTAGTACAAAATGAAGGGCGCGTGATGTTTTTATAATCTTTAGTTTGCAAGGTTTTGCGGAACAATTAATATTTTTTTTATACAACCATGCCTCAGCGGGCCTTTCAGGTAGCGCGTCCCGACCTAGGTGCATTTTAACTTCGGTCGCAATTCGCGGCGTGTCCGCTGGGGAAACGGGGGTGGCACCCCTGTAACCTCTTGCGCTGTATCTGTTTCGGCGCCAAAATGGCCGATTAAAGCCAAAATAGAAGTAAAGTGCAGTTCCTCGAGTGGCCGATACGGGAGAAATGGCGGCGTTGTGTTCGCCGTTAGCTCGGTTCTGGTGGACAGATTGGGGCCACTTTTTCAGAGCAGTCGCTATGGCAGTTTCCCAACTGAGTGGTTCTAGTAACGTTGGCCGCAACCAACAAAAAAACTAAATGCAGAGGGGAAAAAATAAATAAACTAAATGTCGCCACAATTAAACCAAGAAAAAGAAAAGAGCTAAATATTGCCTCAGCTAAGTAAAGGAAGTTAAATCCTGATTCAACCAACAGAAAAAGCTGAATGTTACCTCAACCAACAACCACGACAAAGGAAAAAAAAAAAGCAATGTTGCCGCAACCATGGATCTCCCTACCTGAGAAAGTAGGTGATAGAGGGCAAGCCAGGAAACGGGCCGAGGGAATGGAGAAAGCGCCTTCATTGCTCCTGGAAAAGACGGAAGAGAGAAACGACAGCAAATTAATTCTTTCTTCTTTGATTACAAATGAAAGAAGGAATGGTCCCGACTTCAACTCGCATTATTAATCCAGGTTCAAACTCTTAATAGCAGAAGCTAGAGCCACTCACAGGCTGTGAATGGTAGGCCGTCTTTTTCGAATGCCCAGCCTCCAGCACGTGCTTGTGGCTTTCCTTCGTGCTTATGGTGAACCATAGCCTCCTCTATACTCACAAAGCCTGGCAGTTCGACGACCGAGCCAAAGAGTGCCCGGTCGCAGATTTGGAGCGCGAGGATCTGGTAGCACTGAGCATCAAAGAGCCATTTCTCAGGGAATCTGGACAACAGCGCGCAGCTTTTGCAGCGGCGAGAATTTGAAACACACTTGTTCGCTGGGGAGAATTGTGTTTGGGCGCCTCGCCGCAGCTCTCCTCTCATCCGTTGTCTGCCGCTCAACCTTTTCCATTTCGGCTGCCGATTCTCGTGGCGATCTGCCAGGCTTTGTCAGTAGATAGGCGGATATGGCTGAACCTACGTTCTGGAAGCACTGGAGGCTCGGTGCATTTTCGAAAATAGAAAGCTCGCGCAGGCGGCAAGATAAGTGAAAAACCTGCCTGTAGTTCTCGTCCTGTCAATTACTGTAAAATTTCAAACTCTTTACTACAAGTCAATATTTCATTTACTAAAAATTCATTCGAAATGTAATTAATTAAAATCGCGACTTCAAAACGTGTTTTATACAGGGTATTCGGGCCACTTCCCTTCGCTGTGACTGTGGGAAAGAAATACTTATCCTTTCCTATGTTTGCCTTGTGTTTGGGCGGGTGCGCAACGGCTCTATGTTATCTAGCGAGCAATTACGCGAGAGGAATTACGCTCCCGAAATATCCCATGAAGTAGTGCTTTTAAGTGGCCGATGCGCACTGGTACGAACAAAAAATGTCACGACTGAAGTTCTTTGGATTATCTCGAAACGAGGGGCGCCGCCGACGCCGCCGAGCCTAGGTGATCACTGGATGGCGATATTAGCAGACGATGCTAGCCTACTTTGATGAACTTCCGACAGATGGCGCAAGGCAATAAACTTGAGCATACGGCGCCTCGACCGACCATCTAAGTGGAACTTTGTGTGCCAGCCGGGCCGTTACGGCACGTATAAATGCAGGGTGACACGCTGCTCTGCGAAAGAAACCTTGGATACCAAAGCAAGCAAGTCAAAACATTAAACAATTGTGCGTCACAGGGACTCGCGTCGTGCTGAAGGAAGCATAGTAAAAAATTAAAGATGTTTATAAATCTCTAATGTGAAATTAGGGTGCCTCTATTGAGGAGGAGAAGGAGGGGAGGGTATGCCTCACCTCCTCCTCCCTTTTCCGTCCCCTTCGGCCCTTCCTCCTCCTCCCGCCTCTCCTCCTCCTGCGTACCCTCCCCTTCCCATTTCCTCCCCCCTTCCTATCCCCACCTTCTGCGTACCTTTGCCCCCTCCTCCTCCGAACCTTCCCATATCCTCCCCCTCCTCCGTACCCTCCCCTCCTCCATACCCTCCTTTCCTGCCACTTTCCCCGCCAAATTTAGCAGGCAAATTGACGCCACGTAACCTCAACACCAATTCGGTTTCCCCGCTAAAGTTAGCGGGGAAACTGAATTGGTGTTGAGGTCATTTGACGTCAGTTTTACCGGTAAATTTAGCGGGGAAACTGAATGCGAAGTGTTGCAGTATGGGACGTCAGAGACCTACACAGCAGTTCAGCTTCTCCGCTATATATAACGGGGAATTGAATTTGTGCATAGCTCAGTGACGTCTCATAATGCAACGCGCGCGGTTACGCCGACGGCGACGCTGCTGTAGACACTTTGCAGCAGCTGTGCATGGACGCCGCCATAACTGACCTTCAGTTTTTCCTTCCTCTTATTCCGTTTATTTCACTTCATCATTACCATAGCAGGCTAGGTTATTGCCATATTAGATTCAACTGTGTCCTTTTCTAAAGCATCGACCTTTGTAGAGAATCGTCAACTACCGTTTCAGTTGCTCGGCATCTCGGTAAGACATGACAAGGTCAGCAATGGCGGCTGTAATTTGGCGCGCGTGTAAAGCGTCTATACGCGGAAACGGGCGCCCAAGAGCTCCGCTCTGAAACTCAAAAGATTTTCTTTTGAAACCAAGACCCGGCTCTGCGACCCCTGCGGGGAACCTCGACCCGTACCTTCCGCGCCTGCGGGAGCTGGGTGCCTATCGCCGATGCCTTGCCGTTTATGAAGCAGTTAAACGCGTTTAAGGTCTTGTAGGTTTTAAGTCGTTCTCAGAGATATGGGCCAGGCCGACTCGAATCGTCAAGATTCGTCCAGGATACCTTCGGTAGATTTGCCACTTTCTGGATAAACAAGTGCTCTTTCTTTTCATCCAAGGGACCAGCAAGACGAGTCAGTCCCGTATAAACCAATTTCAGGAGGAATAACCGCGCTTAATCCTCAAAGGTGAGGCTTTCCAAAATACGCGCTACTCACTGCGGGTCCCAAAAACAAGCAAACCCAATAGTAAGCCGGAAGCAACACACTTTCCCCAGAAGTTCAGCCACGACTGTTCTTGTTTATGGAGGCTTTCAGGCAACCTTGCATGGGCGCCGCCAGGAATGGGCAGTATTTCAAATACAAGTATTTGAAACACGTATTTCAAATACTTTGGGTATTTTGCATTTGTATTTAATTACAAATTGGGTAATGTATTTGACGTGTGTATTTCAAGACTAAAACGTGGGTATTTCAAATACAATTGTAATTAAACACAATTTTGTGGGCGAAAATACATCCCTCAAATTTATTGTTACTGTCCAGAGCAGGAAGAATGGAGTGTCTCTCAATCAAGCACAAGCGTTTAGTGACTTTGTGATTACGGTGCTAGTCCAGGGCAAGAATTGTGACGAAATCGACATTCACAGGCAGACTGGCTAAATAAGCGCCTGTGACAACTTGTGGTGCTTTCCAGCCTGATTTCCATCCACATTTTTGCCTGGAACATTCGAAATGCGCAGATCGTCCAGATTTTTGTAACTGGTGCGAATTGCAACAATAAAATAAATCTCTAGCTAGTGATGCGCGTCTTGGTCGTCTCGGTTCTTTGTTAGTCTATACCAACATGTAATCGACAGAAAAAGGTGCTTGAAGCTCTGTACTTTTTTCTTCTATTATGTCCAAGCTGATTACATTTTTTGTTATTATATTTCTATTACGTTACTAGAGCCTCGCACACTAACTCCCGAGTGTGCGATGCAAAATTAAAATGAGGTACCCAGAAACCCGTTGCAGGTGCCCTGAAGTCGCTGACGCAAATTTTGAGAAATGTATTTGGAAAAGTATTTGGAGGAGACAAAATACATTTGGTTGTATTTGTATCTTGTACTTAAATGTTTTTTTGGAAATGTAATTAGATTTGTAATTAAATACCTTTTTGATGAAGTATTTTGTATTTGTATTTCGATACATATTGGCATGTATTTTGCCCATCCCTGGGCGCCGCCATTGCCGGCCTCTCATTTCTCGCTGCTGCACTGCCTATATCACAGCGTACTGCGCTTCTCAAGCCTCCGCCGGGGTGCTATTTACGATGGGATCTTACAGTGAATGTTTTGACGACACAAGACCAAGGTCGAGACGTTAGAGAACGTGTAAGTTCATCACATTTTCATGTTTTTGTCAAAAGTAAAAGAACTCGAAACCGAGTGCAACTTCTGCATCTGCAAACATCAGGTTCACACAAGAAGACTATCGCAGTCTCATCCATCGCTGGATGTCCGTACTTTACATATCGCGTCTTTGTTTGTCGCTGCATTTGGCTACTTTAGTTACGTAGGCGATTTGGCAAGCGAAAAAATTTGGCGATCAGCGACGGGCTGGGTTGTCGCTGGGGCGGATCGCTTGATGTTGCTCGTCGCACCGCTCGGTTTGTGGATTGCTAGTAAACTTCGCTCAACACCTGGGAAACGCTCGCATGAGGTCTTTAGCGCTGCGCTTTGTCACTCATCAAAAGAAAGTCGTGTTTGATGTTGAGTGCATCGGAATGAGTTAAAGCAGACTACCTTGCGCTGGTTAGATACTCTTGCACGAACGAGTAGTCACTCGTTTGCGAACGCGGCCCGAAAAAAAGTTCTGCCAGTCCCGTCTTAAAAGATGCTCTGCTCGGGTTATTAAGTTTGAATCGGGGCAGCGAAAACGGCACCAAGCACGGATAGTCCATGTGCATTAGCGGGGCATGTTCGGGGCACAGTGCGTGGTTCCAGACCTCTATGTTGCCACAGCATGTTTTGCGACCCAATACAGTGCCTTTTACGTTTCACACAAACACCCGCAAGCGAGGTGACCGGATGCAGGCGCAGCCCAAAATACAGGCCGTCAATGGCGGCCTGGGGGGAGCGCCGACTGGTGGCGGCTCGGGTAACTGACGTGATTATCCGATATAGTACTTTCGATCGAAATTTATTTATTTATTTATTTATTTTTTACATTTAAGGGCTACTTTTCATAGGATCGTGTCCGGTATCAAATAAATGTCGACACAACACTGGTTGCCGCTGTCGCTAACAGATGGCGCTAGCTGTTCAGAGCGTTGTGTTTGCCGGTCGTCTGCCTGCTGCCGTCGTTCCAAGACCGCGGTAACCTTTTTACAGTTCGATATTTTAACAGAGCATTAATTTATTTGTTCATAACCATCTGGAGCGCGCTTATGGATTCAAGCGAATTGTCTACTTTGTAATGCTTCAGACTTCAAATGAAAACGTTGGGGAGTTAAATCAGATAAAAGAAACAATGCAAAATAAATATGTCACAAAAAAAAAAAACGTAAACTGCGAAAAAAAAAGGAAAAAACAGTGGACGTTTTTATTGATGTAACTGCAGCAATGAACATTGTTGCGCAAGTGCAAGTTTGTGTTGACCGACTACGGTGGGCGACTGTTTTGTTAACAGATTACCAGGTCCGTAATTGGCTGGTTAA